CACTGAGTTGCTTAACACCTAACTTTTGCTGAGGTTGGCTTTGAACTCAAGATCCTCCTGTCTCAGTCTCCCAAGCTGCTGGGATTACAGGTGTGTGCCACCACACCTGGCTGAAAAAAATGTATACTCCTAACATCAGTCCAAGAAGTTTTATCTTGCTCTTTCTAGTTCCCATCCCTAACACCGTAGATCCAATGAATATTTTAATTTTTTTTCTATCATACTTTAGTTTTTGCCTATTGAGTTTATGTAAATGTAGTTATGTAGTGTGTTCTTTTAATAACTTTATTTTGTTTATTTTTTAATGTGGTGCTGGGGACCAAACCTCACACAAAATTCTGAGGCAAGCCCTTTGCACTAAGCCACAACCCCAGAATTTTAGGTGGTGACATTTATTATTGTCATCTTAATTTTAGCAATTTGATGGATATATATCTTCTTGTGTCTTTTTTTTTTACATTTTATTTTTTTAGTTGTAGGTGGATACAATATCTTTATTTTATTTTAGGAGGTGTTGAGGATTGAACCCAGTGTCTCATGCTAGGCAAATGCTCTACCCCTGAATCACAACCTCAGTCCTCTTCTTGTGCTTAAATTACCATTTCATTGATGACTAATGATATTTAGCATTTTTCTTTTGCTTATTGGCCATTTATCTTTCATGAAGTTTCTTTTTAAATATTTTGCCTCTTTTTTAATTCATTTATCTAGTCATTTGTTTGAAGTCATTTGTCAGATATTTTTTGTTTTGTATTACTAGAGGATTGAACCCAGCACCAAGCCACATGTCCAGCCCTTTAAGACAATATCTCACTAAGTTTCTGAGGCTGGCTTCAAATTTGTGATCCTCTTGCCTTGACCATCTAAGTGGCTGGGATTACAGGCATACCTTACTATGCCTGGCTAGATGTAATATTTATTTTTAATTTTTTAAATATTTATTTTTTAGTTGTAGTTGGACAAATACATTTATTTTATTTATTTTTATGTGGTGCTGAGGATCGAAGTCAGAGCCTCACATGTGTTAGGCGAGCATTCTACCACTGAGCCACAACCCCAGCCCTAGATGTGATATTTTAGTATTTATTTTTTTTTGGCGGACACAACATCTTTTTATGTGGTGCTGAGGATCGAACCCGGGCCACACGCATGCCAGGCGAGTGCGCTACCGCTTGAGCCACATCCCCAGCCCCTAGCTGTGATATTTTTAAAAAATTTTTTTACTAGTCTGTATCTTCATTTTTATACTGGTATCTGAAGTTTTTGTTTTTATGAAGATTAATTTCTCAGATTTTTCTTTTATAGTTCTATTTCTTTCTGTGACCTACAAATCTTTGGGTACCATCAAGTCACGAAAATATTCTCCCATATTACCCTTTGAAAACATTATGCTTTTATGTTTAGGTCACCAATCTATCTTGAGTTCATTTTTATGTATAATGTGAAAGTCAAGGTTATTTCTTTCCCCCAATAGGAATATCCAGTTATTCCAGCACCATTTTTTAATCTCTTTCCTTTCTTCATTGGATTTCTGTGGTGTGGGGGTTTTTTTAATATTTATTTTTTAGTTATAGATAGACACACAATATTTTATTTTGTATATGGTGCTGAGGATCGAACCTAGTACCTCACACATGCTAGGCAACCGCTCTACCTCTGACCCACAACCCCAGCACCATTCTTTGGTGTTTTTAGTGGAAATTAACTAGAGGTTTATTTCTAGACTCTATTACAGTAATCTATTTATTGTATTTTATGCTGGTACTGCAGTGTCCAAATTACTATGGCTTTAGAGTAAGTCTTTAAATTTGGTAGTAGATGCCCTCTAACTTTGTTCTAAAAATGAGCAGCCCAATATATCATTTTATTAATTG